TTTTGAGATGGAGTCTCATTCTGTAGCCCACACTAAAGAGCAGTGGCCTGATTTCTGCTCACTACAACCTCCACCTCCCAGGTCCCAGTTCAGGCAATTCTCCTGCCTCAGCCTCCCAGTAGCTGGGATTACAGAAATGCACCATCATGCCCAGCTAATTTTTTTATTTTTAGTAGAGACAGGGTTTCACCAGGTTGGCCAGGCTGGTCTTGAACTCCTGACCTCATGATCCACCCACCGTGGTCTCCGAAAGTGCTGGGATTACAGGTGTGAGCCACTGCACCCAGCCGGTTAATTCATCAAAGATTATTTTTTAAATTATGTAAGTGCAGTAATGAATGAATAAATTCATCTTATAAAATTAATACAGACACAAAAACACATGTACTTAAATGTTCATAGAAACTTTATTCATAATAGCCCAAAACTTTAAACAATGCAAAGTCCATCAACTGGTGAATGGGTAAACAAACTATGGTATACAATCAAATAGTACTCAGCAATAAAAAAGAACAAATTTCTGATACACACAATAACATGGATGAATCTCAAAATCATTATGCTAGGAGAAAGAAGCCAGACATACTGAATTATTCTACATATATGAGCTTGTAGAAAGGAAAAAAACTATAGTGACAGCAGCTCAGTGATGGGCCATGAGCTGGAGGTGAGAGGAAAAAAGATGACAACGAAGGAGCATGAGGGAACTTTTGCAGGCAATAGAATTGTTTGATATCATAATTATAGTGATAGCTATACTACTGTATACATTTGTTAAAATTCATCAAATTGCCAGGCTTGGTGGTTCATGCCTGTAATCCCAGCATTTTGAGGGGGCCGAGGCTGGTGGATAACCTGAAGTCAGGAGTTTGAGACCAGCCTGGTCAACATGGTGAAACCCCATATCTACTAAAAATCCAAAAATTAGCCATATTAAGGAGGCTGAGGCAGAAGAATGGCTTGAACACAGGAGGTGGAGGTTGCAGTGAGCCTATTGATCTAGAAAAAAAATAATAACCTGTATACTTAAAATTGGATTTTATTGCAGTAAATTATATCTCAAGCAGACGTGTGTGTGTGTGTGTGTAAGAGTCTTGCTCTGTTACCAGGCTGGAGTGCAGTGGCGCGATCTTGGCTCACTGCAGCCTCCACCTCCTGGGTTCATGCAATTCTCCTGCTTCAGCCTCCTGAGTAGCTGGGATTACAGGCACGTGCCACCACGGCCAGCTAATTTTTGTATTTTTAGTAGAGATGCAGTTTCATCACGTTGGCCAGGATGGTTTTGATCTCTTGACCTCGTGATCCACCCACCTCGGCCTCCCAAAGTGCTGGGATTACAGGCATGAGCCATCATGCCCAGCCTCAAGCAGACCAAGTACAAATAAGTGCTCCTTAGATTACCAATCCAAAACCAGGTTCTCTCACTCCCTGTGATGGCTCCCTACTCCCTCCACACAAGTAAATCAGGTAACCACTCATTATGAGGTTGGTGCAAAAGTAACGCATATCACTATTGCAAGTGGATTCTACAAGTTCTTGTTCTGCATTTACACACACACACAAACGCCCAGGGGAAATATACACTTTTCTGTTACCTTATAGCACTTAAACTATTTGGCATTTTGCCACTAAATGTACCTCGGAGAGTTTTTCATTAGAGTATGTCTTTCTACATCATTCTTCTGACTCCTTAATCTTTTTTGTATGTGAGGGAGTTTCACTCTTGTTGTCCAAGCTGGAATGCAATGGCATGATCTCGGCTTACCGCAACCTTTGCCTTCCGGGTTCAAGTGATTCTCTAGCCTCAACCTCCCAAGTAGCTAGGATTACAGGCATGCGCCACCACGCCC